CCAACCTCTACCGGGGTGTTTGGCCCACTGTGAGGGTCTGAGAATTGGTGGCTACATCCTTGGATGTTGGGGTGATATTAGGATGTGGCCTTTCCCTGGCTGGAGAGGGTGGAGTACTGGGTATGAAGAGAGGCACTTCGTGCCATAGGTCGCCTGACTCAAGTCACTAATTTCTCTGTGTTCCTTTCAAATCCCTCATACCACAGGCTGTCAGGAGGGACCCTGTACATTCTATGTAGCAGTAAATTGCAGCATTTGAACTGTAACACATTCCTGGTTTGCCCAGTTATATCACTCATAGAAAGTGTTTATTTTTTCACACATTATACCTGAGAATGTTAAGAGGTCATGAGGTTCATCTTGAATTCCTTGGGGTTAAAACTTTCTTGATGATGCTAACCTATCTCTGGGAATCAGAGCATGTTCCCTGGTAAAGCAGTCCCTAGTTGTTAGGGTCACATGATATATCCTGGCAGGTCTGGCTATCAGCACCAGCTCTCTTTTCTAGAGCTACAAGTAAAGAGGTCCCTACCTTTTGCAGTGGTTATTTCACTTCATGCCCATTCATTTTCCCCCTCATTTACACATGCATTCATTAACTTAGTCATTCATTTAAAAACATTAGTATGGTCTATTTTGTTCAAGACAAGACAGTTCAATGTTCTCATTGAGCTGTCATCTTTAGAGGGAAGAGCAGATAATAAAAAACTAAACAGATCAACAGGAAAAATAAAATTGCCACAAGAGCTGTGAAGAAAGGAAAATAGGGCAATATGGGGTTTGGGGCAAATTTCAATAGAATGAGCAGGACAAGTATCTTTGTGGAAATGAACCTGAGCTGATGAGTAAGTGATGGGAATGAGACCTCTGGGGCAACATTTGGGGAAAAGCATACAGGAAGAGAGAGTTAGAGGAAGAGGAGGTGTAATTGTGGCTCAGTGAAGGTGAAGGAGAGACAAAGGTAGAAAGTGAGGATGGAGAGGTGGGCAGGGGCTCTGTTGCCATGGTAAGAAGCCTAGGATCTGCTCTCATAAAGACTTCAGAAAGCTTTTAAACAGGGAAGGGGTATATAATTTTGAAAGAGTACTTTGAATATAGCATCTTGAGATAGATCTCCAAATCCTTAAAGACAAAAAGGAGGTGACCACTACTTTTATTTCAAAGAATCAGAAAGATTCCAATTGAGAGATTATTTTTAGAAGTCCTGGAGAGAAAGCACATTATAATATCTGGGGCTGGTATTGGGCCGTCCCAGGACACACCCTCGGATACTCCTCTTGGAAGATGATCTTTGGAAGTGCACCCTCTTTCTCTAGATAGCCAGATTTCTCCCCCAGGCTATGTCTGTCTTATGAGTTCTCCACAAACAGTGAAAAAACTGGCAAACTAACCAGCATGAGACCTTTAATTGTTTCCTCCTGGGGCAGAGTGGAATTATCCCCAGTGAGACACCAGGTTTACTGCCGCTTGTTGTCTGTGGGAGAGGCCAGACTGCTGGGAGTAAGGGGTGTCTCATTGTGAGAACCAGGGCCCTGGAGGACCCTCTGATTATCAAAACAGAGAGAGAAATCAAAAGGGAAAGACTGTAGATTTGACTAGGTGGGAATGGAAAATGGGTTTATATGGTTTTTTGAAGATGCACAGACAATAGAAAAAAAGACAAGCAGACAGCTAGTAAAAATATTGCCATACCAGATGATGTGATAAAGTTAAAGAGAATCATCCTATACACAGAGCTCTGTGAGCAGACTTTTACAGAAAAGAAAATGCACACGGTTAATGAAAGTACTTAAACTCACTAAAGTCATAGAAATGCAAACTAAAACAGCAGTGGGGATACAGGGTATTTTGGGGGAAGTTGCTTATCAAATTAAAAAAATGTATTTTTCAAAAACTGCTGTGGTGGTGAAGCCATAATGATATGGACACTGTCATCTGCTATTGGTGGCTTACACCTTTAGAAAGGGGGCACATTTAGATACTTAAAAATCTTTCGTACCCCTTAAGCCAGTAATCCCACTTCTTAAAATTTATTTTAAGATAGTTTAAAAAGGAAGGCATTGGTTTGTATGCAAAGATGTACATGTGTGAAGTGTTGGAAACAGCCTACTTGATAATAGTGGATGATAAGTTGACTTCATTATGGTATATACATTTAGTAGATTGTTAGGTGGCTGTCAAAAGTGATATTTTGGGGGACGCCTGGGTGGCTCAGTGGTTGAGCGTCTGCCTTTGGCTTAGTGCGTGATGCTGGAGTCTGGGGATTGAGTCCCACATTGGGCTCCCTGCATGGAGCCTGGTTCTCCCTCTGCCTCTCTCTCTGTGTCTCTCATGAATAAATAAAATCTTTTTTAAAAAAAGAAATGATATAAGGGATTTTTCTCTGAGTCAAGAGTTACAGATAATTTTGTTTACTTTGTGTTTTTGAAGGTTTTTTTTACACGATGAACATATATTCCTTTTCAAATCATAAAGAAACAGAAAATGTTTTTTTTGTTTTTGTTTTTAGAAAATGGTTATATTTTGTTAGTGCCATCTGTTGTCATCAGATCCCTGTTAGAGACACAACACTCCTTCCTTCCTTCCTTCCTTCCTTCCTTCCTTCCTTCCTTCCTTCCTTCCTTCCTTCCTTCCTTCCTTCCTTCCTTCCTTCCTTCCTTCCTTCTCTATTGCTGCAAGAGCCAGTGAAGTGGAGCACAAATAGCAAGAAAACCAGAGGAGAGACCTGGGTGTTACCTACTGCTCAGGCATGGTTTTGCCTGGGACACATCAAGGCCCTGCTGTGGTCCTTTTTTTTTTCTTTCTTTGGTATATTTTTTATTGGAGTTCGATTTGCCAACATGTAAGCATAACACCCAGTGCTCATCCCATCAGGTGCCCCCCTCAGTGCCTGTCACCCAGTCACCCCATCCCCCTGCCCACCTCCCCTTCCACCACCCCTTGTTCGGTTCAGCTATGGGCCTTAGTTTCCCCATCTGTAAAATACATTAGTTGGACTGGTTCAGCTCCAAGAATGCAATAAGGATATAAACATAATAATTCCAAGCTTCTAACCCAACTCTGACCCTAACTACAGAGTGACATGATTGACCATTTCCATGAACACAACAGTGTCAGCCATTCCCAAGATACCACCATCCACCTGGCTCCCCTGGGATGAGTCACAACTTAATGGGGGGGATCTCTGCCATTTTCTTTAGGGATTAGGGGGTGATTTTTGTGTATATCATTCCTTCACCACGCACTTATTACACCTCTGCTCCCATGGTGCCAGGCCCTGGGGTTATACAAGAAGACCCAAGCTCAGAAAGATTGAGAAATGTCTGCACCTGCAACACATTCTTTCCTTCTTTCTCCACTGGGGCAAGTCCTTTCCATTTGACCATTATTTTAAGTTACATTCAGTTTATTTGAAAGAGAAACAGTTTATTTGAAGCTAAATGTCTAACTCTTATGATCCATAACCCAAATGGATCATACCATTTTGAGTATAAACCACCTACATACTGTGAAACTGATTTTCTTGTATGACCTAGAAGTGAGGAATCTTGATATAGATGGATCCTTGGGCAGTGTGAGTAAAACAATGTTTGAATTTACCTGGAGCCGTGTGACGGAGAGAAGAGTATATGCACTTAGAGTGAGATCACCTGAGTTCACACATGGCTCTCTTATTTCCCAGCTTTGTGACTTGGAGAAGTTCATAACTTCTCTGAGCTGCATGTTCCCATCTATAAAGTGAGGAAATAGTCTCGATCTTACCCAGGTCTGCTTGTGGGTACTTATCAGGATTATGTCTCCAAAGGGGCCTAGCAAAGAGCCTGGCATATTCTTGGCCATCACATTAATGCCCTTGCTGCTTTCCAGAGGTTGCTACTTTAAAGGGACAAGACATGTTTGAAGTATATAGGATATATAAAGCATACATATTGTTTCTATATATCTGAGTGCATATACATACCATGCCGCATGGTGGTTGAGAACTAGGGCCATGAGGCTGCAGGCACCTGACCCTGCCATGTACCTGCAGCATGTCTTTTTGAGCAAGTGACTTAATCTTTGTGAGTCTCAGGGTGCTGTTGACACAAAATGAACAAACCTTTTAGAATTTCTTTAAAAAAAAAGAGAGAGAATTTTATTCAAGCCCAAGTTAGGACAGCTGCCCGGGATACACAGTCTTCACAAAGAAGAGAGTGCTCTGATAAGGGAACATTTGATGTAGGTTTCTATACATATTTTGCATAAAAAGTTGCAAATTATTAGACAAAGAACATTGCAGAAAGTTGCTGGCCTATCTTAAGTTTCTAATATTGGCAGGGCTGTATGACTTGAGTCTTAGGGGAACCAGGAAGTTTTTTACTTTTTCTTATCATTTATGTTCAGAATACTCCTTTTTGATTATTTTCTTTAACAAAGCAGATGTCCACTATGTGCTCTTGGGGCAGAAATAGAGCCTGTACTTTGAGGTTTTGCCAAGTCATTTTGACCTTGGTAAATGTTGGAGTATAGCTTCCCTGGGAGCGCAGGAGCAGGACCCACAAACAGTAAAAGTTGAAAATTTCCTTTATCAGTGCTCCTCTGTAAAATGGAATTGCTGGCAGCTTGCCCACGTTCTTGGGCAGTTATGAGGATTCAGTAAAGTAATATGTATTGCCTAATAAAAATGGAAGTGTATTCACTGAGTAATTTCATACATTTTCCTCTGATTGTAAATGAATATTTATTCAATGTAGAAAATCTAAAAAAAAAAAAAACACCTAAAAAAGAAACATGAATAAAATATGAGTTGTTTTCAGCCCTTTTATTTTGTAGCTGCTGTGTGTTTGCATCTGACTGTCACCATTCACACTCCCCCACCCCATCCACATTCTGAACTGAGAGCTCCTGGCTGGCCCCCACCATGCTGGGTCAGTGCTATCCTCAGCAGGCTGTGGCCCGATGCCCTGGTGTTTCAGCAATGCCCCATGTAGTAATACTGCTACCGGCCCCTCTCTTTGCAGATCCTTCAAGCCAGACTTCATCCTAGTCCGTCAGCATGCCTACAGCATGGCTCTGGGTGAAGACTACCGAAGCCTGGTCATTGGCCTTCAGTACGGAGGGTTGCCTGCCGTCAACTCCCTCTACTCTGTCTACAACTTCTGCAGCAAGCCCTGGGTGGTAGGTGATGGGTCAGGCTGACCTAGAGTGAAGTGGGTGGCAGTGGGTGGCCTCCCAACCTTGAAATGGGCCCATCCTCCAGCATGCAGGCCTCAGTAATGGATCTTTTTTAAGCAACTTAATAAGTAGATTGGACCCCAGGTCTCTTCTGTTAATTATTGCCTAGCGAATATTCTATAACAACATAGTATGAACATAGTATGACATAGTGTTATCTTATAATAACATTAGTGGTATACTATTCTTACTAATATTAAATTAGACCATTTTTGTTAGCAGTGGGCACTATTTATTGATCTCTTACTATGTACCAGAAAACTGTAGCTGCCCGATGCTCAAACTATTGCTGTCCGGTGAAGTGGACATCATTACTCCATTTTGCAGAAAAAGAAGCTCAGCTTCAGAGCAGCTAAGGAACTCACCCTGGTCATGTAGACCAGGAGGGGTGAAACCAGAACTCGAAGCCATATCTCTCCAACCCCCAAGACTTGATTTTCCCTGCTTTGTAGTCATTAATAGAGTTCATCCCTTGATTTATTTGAATCTCCATTCAAATGTTACCTGTAAGAGAGACTTACTAGGATACTACTCCTCCATTCCCCCAAATACTCTCGATACCCTTATCCTGATTTATTTTTTCCCCAATAGTTATCTCCATATAGAATGATAGATTTATCCATTCTTTTGTGTATTATCTGTCTTCCCCCCCTAGAAGTAATTCATTCATGCAACAAATATTTATTCAGCACCTACTATGTTCCAGGCACTGTTCTAGTCCTAGGAACATGGCAGTGAGCATATCAGACCATAATCCCTACCCCATAGATCTGGTATTCTAGTGAGCAGGGGCACATGCAGTATATTAATAAATATCCCAAATATATAATAAGTCATATAAACACCAACAGGGAAAATAAGGCAGGGAAGGGAGATAGGAAATATGGAGCTGTGGATATGTACAGCATGCTCTGTGGAGCTCTAGCCATCTTGTCTCTTGTTTCCCTCTGCTTGGTCTCTTGGTGGTAGGACAGTGATTAAGAACAGGGGCTATGGAGCCTGATTGCCCAGTTCCAGGAGCCTCAATTTATGAGCTGTCATCCTGAGCAATTTGCTTAACCTCTCTGAGTTTATTTTCCATATTTGTAAAATGATGATAATAATAGGGTCATCCTGGTAGGGTTATGAGTGAATACATTTGGCTGGCACAAAGTGCACACTCAATACATGGTGACAATTATATTCATTCAGTAAATATTGAGTGCCATCAAGGTCTCTGCAACATTGGCATTCAATATTTATTGAATGAATATATACATTAATTTAGTATATATGAATAGTTTTTAACCACTGTTACCATGGCTCTGGTCTCCTCATTCTACCCTGAGATCTTTGGCCTATGGCATCCCATATTTGATGTCACTGTCTGGAAAGGGTCTCGATGGTATTGGCCCACACCCCTTGTTTTTCGATGCAGACATCATGATGATAGCAGCTACTGTCCATCAGCACTGTATGCTGTGCTGAGCCCTTAACATACATATTGTATTTAATCTTCAGAACTACCCTGACAAGTACATATTGCTAATATCTCCATTGTATGGATGAGGAAATTGGAGGTAGGCATCTCCAAAACTTGTGTGCTTGATCATAGACTTATTTTCTCTCTCTCTCTCTCTCTCTCTCTCTCTTTCTCTCTCTGGACTTCAGCATCCTTATCTGTAAAATGAAGGATCTCCTGTGATTTCTCATATTTCTGAGGTCCCTCAAGCCCTCTAAGTGGACTCCCTGTGGGACCACATCTGCAGATTGTACCCCAAGAGTTTGCAGACCAATTCTAGCCTGATGCAAAAAGTTACCCATTCTGTCTGAGACATTAGTGTTGAGTTACTCCTGAGTCAATCTGGTGTAAGACTTACCACCCCTGCTAGCTATTGGGCATCCACCTTAGGCCACAAACTGTAGCTTACTCCTTCTTCCTGATCAGAATTTACCATACCCTTTACACTTATGGCCACCAGGAGTTCCCTTTGTTTCTGGGTAAATTCCAAGCTCCTTGTTCCTGCCTTTAAAGGCTCCCAGTGGTCTCTCATGAATCACCCTCCATCATCATCTCTCATTGTTCCCTGTACCCAAGGCCACAGCTATGACAGCCACTGTCTCCAGGACACTAGTCTCACTACACACCTGGAGTACCTTTCCATCTTCTCTTGTGTCATCTGCTCCAGGGAGTCATCCTGACCCCTACTCAGTCCCTCTTCCAGGCCCCTCAGTCCCCTTGCTTTCCTCCAGCAAGACATCATTATCTCAGACATCTGTCCACACTATCTCCCCTCAAGGCCTGGTCTCCCATGCTCAGCTTGTTCCAATATTAAAGCACAGTGCCGAGCACAAAATGAGCTCCCAAGGGCACTGAGTGGTGTGGGGTAATGGAAGAAAATGTAAGTCCAAGGCCTGCCTTCCAGGTGCTTACCCTCCAGCTCTGGGGATGGCAGCTACCTCTATGGCAAAATAAGGCAGTGCTGAAACAAGAGGAGCCAGGTATGGAAGGAATACAGCTCAAGCAGTTGGAAATGAGTGCAATTGTAAAAGCAGAAAAAGAAAAAAAAGAGTTGACTCTTGAACAGTGCAGGAGTTGGGATGCCAACACCCAGTGCATTTGAAAATCTGTGTATAACTTTTGACTCCCCCAGAACTTAAGTACTAATAGCCTACTGTTGACTGGAAGCTTTACCAATAACATAAACAGTCAGTTAACACAATTTAATGTTATATGTATTATACGTTGTTTTCTTACAATAAAGTAAGCTAGGGAAAAGAGAATGTTATTAAGAAAATCATAAAGAAGAGAAAATACATTTATAGCACTGGCATATAGCATTTATAGCATTTCAGTATTTACTGAAAAAACAGCTGTGTATTTAGTGGACCTGTGCAGTTCAAACCCATGTTGTTCAGAGGCCAACTTTATTTATGATTAATAATAATATCTAACATTTGAGTGTTCCTAGGGACCAGGTACAGCTTTTCATACATTGTGTAATACTGGATCTCTTTTTTTTCTCCATTTACAAATGGAGTGACTTTCCAGGCTACACAGTAAGTGGTAGAGAATTTGAATCCAGAGTCTACACCATAAACTGTCATGCAGTACAACTTCTCTAGAAAGGCTTTGCAGGCTGGGGACATGGCATGAATGTCAGCAGGTTATGCTTGTGTGAAATGCTGACAATGTAGTAAATGTTCACTAAATGTAATTTAGCTGAATTTGGTGGCCTGACAGGAATGAAGGGTTGATGCACCTAGACGATTGAAAAGATGAATTTCCAGCCAAAGAATCTTGTTTTCATCCTGTAAACAGGGACTGACTAGTGCAGCTCAGCTCAGAATTATTAGATACCTGAGGCCTGAGATCGAGTGGGAAATCCCACCATACTATATAAAGATGATTGACCAGTACTCTTCGTCCTTCTTTTCTAGTTCTCTCAACTCATCAAGATCTTCCATTCCCTGGGTCCTGAGAAGTTCCCACTTGTGGAGCAAACATTCTTCCCCAACCATAAGCCAATGGTGAGTGCCCTTTCTTACTCTGATTACCTTCATGATACAGAATGAACACAGATGTCCAATTTTCCATCCCTTTGGTTGGATGAGTAGGCTGAGGGGCCACTCCCTCACCACCTGGGCTCTAGGGAAGAGCTGTGATGTCCTGTAGGAATACCTGGCTTTCCTATGGAAAGGATTAACTCTTTGGGTAAAATTTCAGGTAGCATGGCAGATGGCAAAGGTAGATGGCATTCCCTGGGATGTCGGGTATTGTCAGCAAATCTGGGGACAATCTGAGCTGTCATTTTGGAGCCAAAGGTTGGTAATAAGGATAAAAGATATTTCAAAGTTTGGAAGTTGTTTCCCTTGAGCACTGGGCAGACCTGGTTTCAACTCTTATTTTAATAAAAACAGTAATATTTTATTTGTGTTGATTGTTGAAGAGCAATTCTCTGTATGTTCTCTTTGCATGTTGACTTTTGGATGTACCTGAGGTTGTCTCTGGGAAGTGGTTGGAGCTTCACTTGGAGCACATGGTAGAGCCTCTCATTTGGAGGACAGCTGGGTGGGAAGGTTAACATCTTTCTGAATAGGGTGGTGAACTCTCCATCCTACAACCAGAAGAAATTGGGTGGAGGAGTTCTGTGCAGCTGGAAATAACCTGTGATGCATCTGCTTGTGTGTTTTGGTGGTCTTCCTAAACTGATCAAAGAAATGCAGGGCCCTGGCCCCATGCTTGCCATGTAAGGAATGTGAATCTTGGGAAACAGGGTAGTTAATAGGGTATCCAAATGTCTCAGCTGGGGACTGTGGCCTGTTTGTAGAATCCCAAGCTCAGGCTGCTGACCTAGAAAATTCTGTTTTGAGACAATGATGGGTAGGACTTTAGGCTCCAAGAAGGAGCAGTCTAAACAGGCAGAGAGGTTTTTCCATTGATTATCTTTTCCTTCTATCTGATCTGGTAAGAGTCATCAAATCCAGGATATGCTGCTTGGATAAGAAGGGTTTGTGGAACCTGGCATATTCCAAAAAAGCGTGAACACAGTAGAGAAACTTCAAGGTTTATTAGCAAACCAGAATGAGTTTGAATCCTAGTCTGCCAGCGTACTAGGTCTTGAGCAATGAATGGTCTTGGCTTCCTCTGAGTCTTGGCTTCCTCTGAATCTTGACTCCCTCAGCTGGAAACTATGGAGGACAGTGGGGCAACCTCATTGGGTTGTTGAAGTTTAATGTAATCATATAGAGAGAGTGCTGTACCTGATATACAATTGGTGATCAAAGTAGACTAGCTTAAAATAGGGGCAAAAGTTATACCCTGGAAAATTGTCAACAATGGGATGAAAGTTGGGTGAGGGGTCTGCAGCCAACCCAGCCCATTGAGGATGACAGATCCAGTTGTAAGCTCTGAGAGGGGCTCACCTGCTAGTGGGACCTCTTGATTTCCTGGCATTCCCAACTAGGCCAAGCCATAGTTGGAATTCAGGTAGGTATTTGGCATCAGGTACTGATATTTGCAACCTTTTGTTCTCACTTCCGTTGTGTAAGATTCTTAGGAAGAAAACAGGGAAAGCCACACCAGGGCTTCCGACTGGAAATACCTGTACTACTTACCAATAGTTAATTAGATTGAGATCTGGATTCTGTAGAGTTATGGAGAACCCTGACCATGGAATCAGGGAGCAAGCTCAAGGCTGGATTAGCAGTCAGAAGGAAATCTAGAAAGCCTCTCCTGAAATCGCTCCTGTCTTGAGAAAGGACTGGAGCTGGGTAGGCTGAAGCTGTAGAAGTGGATGAAGGGAGGAGAACATCCATGGGCCTGCAGCCAGGACAGGAGGGACCAGCTTCCAAAGCCCTCTGCTGTCCATATTACCCTTAAGGACAGTCAGGATAAACAGGCAAGAGACTACAGGTGTGTGATAGAAATAAAACCATTTTACTGTTTAGAATAAAGGACACACTATAAAAAGTGAACATTATGCAACATTACAGACAATATACATTCACGGAATATAAAATTCATAAATAACATGGAGGAAAACTGTAAACAGTGCTACAAAATTTAGCAACAAATACATTCCTTCCAGATAGGGTTTTCTCTGGTTGGTTTCTCTCCATCACTTCTGGGTCTCAGGACAGCAGACTGGCTAAGGGGAAAGGTAAGAGCCTGGGAGAATCTATGAAGCCCCTCCCCTCAAAGCATGACCTGGTCTTTAAGTTCTTACCCTCCTTCACAACTCCCAAGAGCCAACTTGGGGATTGTTGACATCCACCTCCCCTACACTCCCACATTTTTTTTTTTTTTTTTTTTGCTTATAGTCATCAGATTTTTAAAGTTGTTTCTTTGTGTAAAACTATTGTAGTGATCTTTTTCTTTTTGGTAGCCAGGAGACAAACACTTGGGTGCCAGCCTGGGGTAATCCATATTGGCGACCATCAAACACAAGATGAAAGGCTGGAGCAGAGGAGGGTACTATCTCCCAGGAGACCACAGTGTCTCTGAGACAGGATTGTTCCAATAAGTCATTTGTTTCTTTAATTGCTCAAGAATCATCATATGAAAAATGGTGCTCATGGGCTGTATCTCAACTGCCATGATATAGGCCTGGAGCTGAGTGACAGTAAAGGACAAGAGTCTCCAGCATTATCTACTAACCAGATGGAGCACAGGTCTGAGAGGAGAGAGGCTGGGTATAGTGCTTTCTGGATAGGGAGGCAGAAGAGATGGCCAGATGAGGTCAAGAGATCTTGGAATCATAGCTCCCATGGCCCTGGATTTTTAGGAGAAATCATGGCTTCCTAATTGGGTGGTCAAGTTGGGGACAAAGAATGGGAATGACCAGCAGACTGCCCAGTGCCAGTTGATACAGAGCAAGGACATGAATGTAACTTGCTGTTTTCTCTTCCTACTTCCTACTCCAGAAAGCACTGGGTTGCCAACAAAGGGAGGAGGTTGGAAGAGTCTCAAATGCTAGTTGCTCCTCATTTCTCCAGTTTGCCAGTCAAGCTGCCTGCACAGTAGAAGTATTTTACCCTCCATTCCACGTTAGAATTTGATTCAGGAAAATGGCGGCATGTGGGTTTCATTTTTTTTTCTCTTAAACACAATGTACACATATTAAAGCCTACACATGACACAAGATTTAGCAAAATAAAACGTTCACGATATGATTGAAATACGGAAGTGTCTCAGCTACATAAATGATTTTAAATTATACAGTAAGTGAACAGGTGAAATAAACAAAGCTATAGCTTATAGAAAGCTCAAAAACCGCCCTCTGCCAACATTGCTTTGCAAAGGACCCTTCTTTGCCCAGGACCTGCTGTTCTCTTTGCCAGGGCCTGACAGATGGGACTGTGGTTCCACCAGCATTTCTGCAAGGAAACTTCAGATATGACTCACTCTCAGGCCTCACCCCAGGTCCCGCCTTGTGTGAGTGGAGGTGGCCCCACCAGGGACCAAGAATCACCAATGCTTCATGGAGGGGATGCTGATGTCCATTTGTGGGAGGCACTTGTATGGGTTGGGTCAGGGGGTCCACCTTATAAGACTTCAAGGTTGAAATCAATAAAATCTCAGAACACCAACGCTGGGGCTTACTCCTTAAAAACCACTGGCCTGCTGACCTCAGATCCTTTTGCTTACACTGCTGCATTGAGAGGGACAAAGCCTCCCATTTTTCACCTGCCAGATGGCATGATCATAAGGTAAAAGATATAGGATAATAAAATAGATCCCACAGAAGCCAGATGCCTATACTGCCTTCCCACTGAGGAGTTCTGACGAACACCTTGCCTGGGCATTTGTGCGTGCGTGCGTGTGTGTGTGTGTGTGCGCAAGACATCACAATGTGTTGTCTGCTTTTTTTTTCTCCTATTTCAATTGGCAGCTCTGTTTCCTAAAGTGGAATGAACTGAAGATACAAATACTAAGAGGATAAATACCCATAATCTGAAAAAAAGAGAGCAATCATGTTAAATGTCACCCCTACCATCCCCAAATCAGTAAAATATACATTATCACCTACTCTTGGCATCTCACTTTCAACACTTAAACTTAAAATACTTTTATTTAATCGGATAACTTATATTATAGTTTTATTTCAAAAAACACAACAAAAACTCTACAGCGGATTGCAGAGTCAGGCTTCCCCAATGACCACCGATTTTAATCCCATGAGGTAAGGACCTCAGGAATGGTGTTCGCCCACCAGTGAGCTGGGGCAAAAAGAGCAGGCTGTTCCAAAACCCAGGAAAGTGGCCATCTAGCTGAGGCAGGACACTTTGCAGCTTTCCCTCCTGTGCCCAGACCCCTGACCCACACTAACTCTCATCTCCCACCTGAGCTAAGCCAATAAGGCAGTTAAATGAAGGCCCCAAACATGAAGCAGGAGAAAAAGAGAGGGACAGAGGTCAGATGACCCCAGTTAGAAGGATGTTGAGGGTGTTCAGAATTTCAAATTTTAATTAAAATGAAAAAAAAAGTCAACTTGGAATGTCATGATTTTCTTCAAACAAGCAATGACAACAAAATAGAAGAGATTACACTACTGGCATATTTAACAGCATTGAACAGAATTCTGTGTCCTGTAAAAAATTAGCTTATGTCCCCGTGTGGGTATATGCAAATGTGTATACAAACACATCCCCCTAGGTGAGCTAAACCCTACTTTGGAAATAGTACTCTCTACCCAAATCTACTTGGCTATATCTGTGGATAGTGTATGGTGCATGTATTCCTCCAATTTACATAAAGGTAAGCTCCTGGCCAAATCTACCAACGAGTTTTCCAGGAGGAAGTCTTGTGGGAGATAGAGAGAGGAAAGACATTCATCTCAGTCTTTCACCTGAGCTTTTGTACAAGGCAGGCAAATTGCCTCCTAACCTCAGGCAGATGTTTAAGTCTTCATCAACTAAGAAAGTTCTGTTATTCTGGTCTGGCTGCTTACCCCAGACTCAGAAACATCTGGTCAACCCAAGCGGCACTGGGCTGGGGGAACTGTGTGTGCTGTATCTTCTCAGACCCT